GCCGGGGCAGTTCCCGGTGGCGGCAGGTGGCTCTGCGGGCTCAGGTGTGGGCAGGGATAGGGATGGGCCAGGGCTGGGAATCGCCCACGTCTGCGTGGTTTTTGGGCTGCTCTCGGTGTAAGTAAATCCGTGTTACAGGTAACTTGTTCAAAACAATTTAGTGGCTAATAGGATAGTGCAAGAGAAATAGTTTTAAAAAATTCCATTAGTGCCTTCATAGCAAGGTTATGTATAACTAGATTCATGGAGAGCGTTTAAGTTTTATTAACTTGAGTGGGAAGTTAATAAAAGTTAAGTGGGAAGTTAAGTAGGGAACGTCTTGGCTAAGTTTTGTTGAGGAATTGAAATGCTTGTCTGCAGATAGCCCTCATGCAGCCTCCTGTCCTACATGTTGTTTTCCTTCTTGTCCATAATAATTTACAGCTACACTAAATAAGCATGTGGGTTTTATTTGTCTTTACTTTCAACATGTTGTGCAACACTGAAGTTGTCAGTGCTAGCTTTTTTTAGAGCAAGGATGGCTACATGTGACTGGGTTTTTTTCGGGGTTTTTTTTTTGTTTGTTTATTCAAAGTGTTTTTCCATTACTTTTAATAGCTTTGAAGGTAACAAGCTGTAATGGCAGACTGGAGGGAGAGCACACATACCCAAAATAAATCCAAAACATTTTTTTCTTAGCACTTTTATTTTCAGAGAAACCTAATCAAAGGATGACACAGCTCTATCTGTGTTTCATACCAGCATCAAATTTATAATGAACAGTTTCTTTTCTCTGTCTCCATTCAGGTTGTACGGAGCTGTCTTTGCTGTCTTAATCTTAGTAAAGCCTTTTCCATAAAGTTAAAAAGAGACAGTGGGTATTAAACAAAAGCCAAAATAAGACAAACAAAAAAACCCCCCAACAAACCTAAACACCTGCTCTAGCAGTTGTTTCCTTGTTTTACTTTTGAGTGTTCAAACACCATCAGTTTCCTTAAATTGAAAATATGTGTAAGAAAAGAATTACTGAGGGTCAAATAAGATATTTAGATTTCAAGCTTTGTTTTATTTTGTGTCAACTTGGCAATAAATTATGGGAAACAGATCTTCCAGCTCCTTAGGTTTGGAATTTTACATAGATGTTTCACAATGGATAAAAACTTCCCAGCAAAAAGGCTTGTAAGAAGTCCTTAGCGTTTGTTGTTTATTTTCTTTTTTAATAGTGTTCGTTCTCCCCTGTGTTTTGTTTTTGTTTTCCTTCTGAGCAGACAAGTGTGTTGGCCTGGTACAGTGTAACCCACTTAATGCCTTAGGGATGGGCTTTTGTCACAAGAGTTACACTGGGAAGAATATGAATGTACAAGGTAGCCTTGAACCAACAGAGGCTGCTATTACTAAGATTCCCTGAAGGAAAAGGGAAACTAATGCAAGGGAGAAGGATGAGCACATTTGGGTAGAAATAATTGCTGGATAAGTTATTGAAAGAGTAGAAGCAGTAATAGAGAAGTAGGTTGCAAGGAGAATGTCAAATAGCTCAGACATTGTTAGCAGTGTTGGACCAGGAGCAGCAGCACTGAAGGGTGTTTTGAAGTTGGCTGAAAGTGATAGAATATTTAAGATGGAACATATTTAACTGTGAACTGCTGAGAAATGTCAGCTCTGATTAAATTGGAATAAATAAGTTTGCTCGTTTTACTTGAATTTGGGGAATGAGGTTAGAGGTGAAGGTTAGGCTTATGCAAGATTAAACTGGGAGAGATTTTGCTAATTGACTTTGTGTCTAGCTAGAAGTTAGAATAAATGAAGAGATTCTGGCAGTAGGTGCTGAAATGATTTAATGATCCAAGGGTTATGTGAACTTCAGGATTCCTTCATTTGGCCACTGGGTCTTTCATAGTCCCGGGTCATGCCAG